AACAATAAACACCCCCCGCGCATAGCCCATTTCTAGTCGGCGTCAAGTCAATCGGCACCAGCTGATGCCTTATTTTATCTATAACGATAGCAGAATGTCTCTGATATCCTTAATTCCAAAGCAAAACCAGCATTGCGTAATAAGGTACTACGGAGTGTTATTGCGGTGTCTGACGCATTAAAAACCTATTTGTGTAAAAATTATAGATAAGTAAAATGCGGGTACAAAGATTGCCTGTTATTCATAAAATAGGTGGCCTCATGTACCGAACGGGGGTTCCTATCATGTCTTAGAGTTCGCGCAAATGCTTGCTGTTATTTTTCAGAATGTGTTTCCCAAATTAGGAGCAATAGCTGCTTTGTTCTTTATACCGACGAAATTCTATTGTAAGTTTTATTCAGGGACTATCAGTTTCGTGGTAGTTTTTTTCGTAGCTTTTAGTATAGCCATGTGTCTATGCAGTGACGCGGCCTCCTCCTGCTCAGTCTACCTGATGGAGCTAGAACGAGAAGTTCGAACAATAGATCAGCTGAATGATCGGTGTGGAGATCCTAGGTGGATCGTAACTAAATCTTGACGGGATGCAAGTAGTAGCTGCCCACGGTCCTGATCTTAGAAGGTCGACATCTTTTCCTCCTATATCCCCTTAGAAGCGATTCAGTTTCCGAATGCGAAAAAGGCCACGTCTGTAGACACGCTCACTGTATTTGTCTATGTGCCTGTTAGCGAAACAGCAAGCTTTCTCCCTCTTTCTCTATCTCATTGTGCTTTTCAAAGAAGAGTAACAGAACTCCAGTAGAGAAACCATCAATTTCAGAAGCATCAGTAGAAAAACAAGTCACTAACTATTCGTACACAAGTACGTAAGAGATATATTTGCGATAAGTAACTACAACGCATTGTCGAGTATTTACTCCGTTGGCGCACTGTTTGTGAGGGGAGGACAGCAGTGATGCTGTGCAGTAACCGGGGGTCTGGGCATTCAGCTTTGGGTTGAAACAAAGTGGCCAGCAGATAAAAGAGAGTAAAAGGAACTTGTCCCTGAGACGCTGTCCCTATGAAAGATTGGCGATCTCAAAAGATAGATGGGATACATGTTTGCTTTTTTCTTTCGTGTTATCAAAATTGTTTTGACTCTATGCCTAATTTCGATTACAGGATTACTGCCATATGCTTCGTTTCTTTGGTAAATGCGAGAATCACATAACCCTCCCACATATCAAATCATTTAAATGCGATGTTATTTTTTAAAAATGTCATGAAGGCTGTAGTTCTAGTGGAAGTAATATGGCGTCTTTTTTATAATAAAATTAGTTAAGGCGAATGCGCACTTGAGATATATGTATTATTTTAACACATATTTTAAGCCGGCCTCTCATATCATGTAGCCACGAAAGAGCGATTTTAATGCAAAATTTTTGAATAAAGGAGATCCTAAAGCAGTTACGATATATATATATATATATATATATATATATATATATATATATATATCGTAACTGCTTTAGGATATATATATATGGCACTTTAACAATGTAAGGGCCGGTACATAATAGATATAACGAGGGAACATGTTAGGAATAGTTGTCAACGCTTTTTTCGACAGGAAACTCAATCTGTAAGAGATTTCGACTTAAACACTAACGACAGCCAAGAGATTTTATTTAAAATACTTTTGATTGCTTACCACCGATATTGGACATTTACTTGGACCTATATAGCTGACTCATAACGCGCAGATCTTGTTAGTGAAGCATCTAATAGGTTTATTGATTTCTATTTTCGAGATGGGATGTAGTTAACTAGTTAAATGAACGCTCCAGTGAGTCGTCCATTTAGACAGACAGACAGGCAGGCAGCTACTGTGTTCCAGATAGATATAACACTACGGGGTCGTAGCGTACTAAAATCGTATTTCTTCTTAATCATAGCATGAATATAGCGTTCAAACGAGTGAGCAACGCACAGGAACTAAACAACACTGTGGTATTTGAAACAAGAAAAGGAGCTCCAAAAGTGGGAATATTCATCTTCGTATGGTACAGGTGAGCTAATCTAGGCGAGGAAGATAAATTTATAGGAATCTAACACGGCTCTTTAAGCGGTTAGCGGCAGACGTGTTGTAAAAGCTTCATACGAAAATGCCACTTTATTTACATGTATAGAATATAAATGTGTTTTAATTAAGTGACAGCTTGTTTTAGTGCATGGTAGATAATGATATGACAACTTAGATAACCATAGCGTACTATCTTTGGTACTCTCCAGGCGTACACAGAAAATATACGCAATAGCTTTTTGAGGAAGAACAATAACGACTTCTCTTACAGTATTTGTATTAACAAAGTAGAAGAATGAGTTTCTGCTTGTTTTTTTTTTGATTTTAATGAGATGTCGAAGAGGCTGTTGTATAATACATTACAAAAGAAAGCAGAAGAACTAACAGCACATACGCATTAAAACACGTTCTTTAGGCACAATGAAGATAAAAATAGTATATGAATAGTTTTGATGTTATGTATCTCGAACGAACAATGCCACAATAATCAGGTGTACCTGGACACTAACAAAATCAAGTGTCCTTGGAGTTTACGCTAAGGTCACTGGTTATACCTAAGCCAAAGACCTTTTCATTTTGCGTTCCAATGATAGTTGCCATTTTAACTTCGATGCAATTCCTCATCCCTGTTTGGTACTCGAAATATACAAGCTAGATGTCCACATATTGCCTAGCTTATGGTTGTCTTAACATTATGAAGAAACCAATACTCCGACTGATTAAAGGCAGCTGTGATAGAAGCGCAACTCTACTAGCAATAATAATGAAAAGGTCTATTTTGTCTGTTCACTCAAATCCGTCAATCTGTCATTTATTATTGATGCAATATGCGACATTTTCTAAATCCCCATTGTAAAATGTAGATACTATCTATTTGCTTTTATATTTATGATATCTCTAAAAAGACAATATCAGGGTTTAGTTGTTTCGATTTGTTCATCTTCACGAGTTAACGTGTATCTGTCGTGCGTTTTGTGGGAGTCAAGCGATGTTGGATTAAGTGGGTCGCGTGAGGATCTGATTTCCATGGCAGACCTTGAGGGGGCGAGGTAATGGCGCGGAAGAAGACTTTGTGCGCAAAGAGGCAGTGCTGGTTATGCATCACAAGAGTCAATGGGGGTTAAACAGAGAGGGAGAAGTTGCTCAACAAGGAGACGGCCACTGATAAGAATTACTCGGATAGTAAACAAGATCCTGAAGAAATACTTAGTGGTTACTCCAAAAAGAAGTTTGGGAATTTCTAAAAACATCCTTATATTTATTTAATATTATCTCTAACTGAATCCGTCACCAATATCGCTATTGCTTAAAATCAGTGTTTCTTCATTATCGATATCATTCAATTAGCGCGCTTCCAAAAAGCGTAGCTTCCTTTCTTTTGTTTGAAAAACTGAATCAAAAGTGTCGACTTTTGACATGACCGCATCGTTGTCCTTGCATCACACCCCTCTCGTCGTTATCATCATTTTATATATTTCAGCTAGAAAACGAATTAGTCAGCCTAAAAGATGCTTATTCTCGAAGTTACCTTCGGTCTCGTACCAACTATAGTACAATATAGTTCACTAAAGTTTATCGTTACTCATTTGCCATAATTCTGTTTTTTCTTTATATATAAGTAAGTAGGTTATGAATAAGCATTAAATTCATAGCTCACTGGTTAGGTTATGATTTTCCTAGCTGCTTAATAAAAACAAATCCTCACTGTACGCTAATCTATATGTCAATCATGAATTTATCTTTTCGCTAGTCACTTTACTGTCATTAACCAGATACGATAGACTAGATTCCGCTATACTTAGCCATTTCCAGTTCTTTGAACAAAAGGCTCCTTGGTTACTGTGCAATGCAACTATTATCATCTCTTGATTGCCCGTAACATCAAAAGGGCAGATTTTCATACAATAACCTTTCCCTGTATATGTCATCAAGCATAGAAGTCAGTCGACCGTTTTAAAAGTACCCGCTCGTCAGCTGTTCGCGTGCCGGAACATCCTTGCCGTTGGGATCATTCTAGAGCGATCTGCCTGGGACAAGCCTGCGTGTAGACAGTGTTCAATTGCATGCGGGAAAGGTCGCTACCATTTTCTGTAGCAGAAAAATTGTGTTGAGTCTTTTTTTAGTTTCAGCCATTTGAGCATTCGAAATGGCCCATAACTCTGACCTAGCTGTGACAGAACAGCAGGCGGCACCAGCTTCTACAACCTAATAGAAGAAAAGTCCGTTGGCGCAGGGAAAAAGCCATTGCGGCCTTGTATGGTTGGTGTTCCGCCACGCGAAGCCAACGAGGCGAGACATGTCTAGCAATGACAATCATATATGATTAAGCTTCTTATATTTATCAAATGGGCGATCGATCATAATCTGATATCAGTTGACAGATTTGAGGCCTAGTGAATCCGGCCAAAATAATATTAATCATTTTCAGCTCGTGACATCTCCGTTATCTTAAATTTTTAATTCAAAAGCAAAGGGTATTTGCTTTTACAGTCCTCGAACAGCTCAAAGATATCTGCTGCCGAATAGTCCTGCAACTTGTGCTTGATAGTCTGGTTAAATGTCTTTCATGATGGTATTACTGTAGCATACTTGCATAGGCTGGCGCTAATAGCCTCTCAAGAAAAAAAATTGCCGGTACTTATCTTCTTGCGGAACGAGCCGGACTAACAAGGTGTCAGATTCGCATTGCCGTCGAAAGGCGCTCGTTTATTTTTCATCAAATTAATACAATTAGACGTTGTCATTGATGCTTTGTACAAAAATTACACTGTCTTCACCGTCTCGATGTTCTTTCCTTTTTACTCGGAAATTACGGAAATCTATAGCTGTTCATGATGCGCCAGATTTTCTTAAATATGAAATCATGGATATATCAGAAAATCGCTCGATATGACAACAAAACAAGACGAAATTACACAGTAAACTCTGAACATTTACTCACCAGTGGAATCTTCATCATTTCGACGGCTTGGCCCTCCAAATCCGGCCTGGGCAAGGGCTTTTTGAAAGTGGTCATCAAGGGCAGATGCTACATCCGTCTTGAAGTACTTGATTATGATGCACTTCGATGAAACATAGGTGGCTTCGCCTACATCCTCTTTGCTTTCTGCCGACTCAGGCGGCGTGGCGCACACGGGCGCAGACGAAGCTGCGGAAACAATAGTAGATAGAGTGGACGATGTCGTCGATGGAAGGTCAATGGGTGCGAGGCGATTTGGAGATGACGTTCCTGCCACTGGCGAACCCGTATGAGTTGTATGAGGGGGTGAAGGCGTACTGTAGTGTTGATGCTGCTGGTGCTGATGGTGAAGTTCTTTTACAGGATTGTGTTGGATGCTACCACTGTTAAACTTCTGAAACTGCAAAATGTCGGGCTGCACTCATGACAAAAACGACAAAGGCATGTTCATTTCGATAGTCAGTTCATTCCATGTACAATTCATTGTTGTGTTGTTTAGTGAACTGTACGCTCTTCGCTTGAGCTGAGCGAAAAGTATATAGAGAATTTAAAATCAAAGTAAGTTGGCGAGAAATCTAGCGGATTGCAATCCATTGCTCTTTTCGCTGGTTCCATATTTAGGAATAACGCAAAACGCAAAATCCTCTGTTTTCAACGAAACAAGTTTATATAAAGTCCGTACAAAACACTAGGAAACATCTGTTCCCGGGGGGGGGGGGGGGGGGTAAGGCATTACGGCATGCATGAATAGTACTAGTAACAGGAAGGATACTGTACGGGTATCGCAGGGGGGAAGACTTTTGTAATGCAACCTGCTTGGTGGTACTTACCTTTTGTTCGAACGAAGCCGTAGGTGGGTAATCCTGGGGGCTCGAAGGCCCCCCAAGGAAATAGCCGCTTGTTGAAGGTAGATTAGCAGCACCTGTGCCGGGACTTGGCCGCTGATAGCCCGAAAAGTAGGCAGCAGAGTAGGGCTGGTACATCACATCCATGCAGCTCATCGCATCGACCTCAGCGGTCTTCCAGTGGCAGAAATTATTGGCCTCCGAGTGGCACTCAAATGATCAGACCCACAGCTCTTGGTAAACGACACCGATCTGCTATCTGCTATTTTCTTCTTTATAGTAGTCGCGCTCATTCACAGTGGCTCTGATTTCGCACAGCGTGTCACAGTCTGTGCTCACGCAGACTTACACAAAATATTGCTGCCATCCAGTGTCTTTTATCACTTATTTTTTTCCGGAAAAATCTCTTCTTTTATCGTGAGCGGTAATCTCCTGGTACACACACTGAAAAAACACACCGCACTGTCCTAGATATAACAAACCTATTCGAACTCTCCTTGTGCGTTTGTGTATCTATTCTATCAGTCCCTGCGGAGCTGTCGTGTCCTTGTCTAGACTATGCACTGTGCTATGTTCTAACTCGGACTCCGGCCTGAGCTTCGCCAGGGCAGCTCGCGAGCAGTCGGAGATCGTGCACCGAAGAGCCTGCGAAGGCGGAGCCTGCTGACGTCACCAAGGTAGGAAGTCTTCCTATGCGAGACTCAGCCGTTGGGCAGGAGCCGAAAACCGGGCTCACCCTCAAAGCTCCGCCCATGCATTAGGTTCCGGTCGTTTCAAATGGAGTGGCGTGGAGCGCACCCTACAAATTATCTTTCGTCAACCATTTTTCGAAATAGCAAGCATTGTCTCGAAACTTCCAAAACAAAAATTTCTTTAAATAGCTTAAATATGTTGTAAGTGTTTCTAATATAATATAATGATAGCGACCTGCAATACGGTTGCACATTCTGTCGTACGTTCACCCTCCCAGACATTTGAAAGCGGTCGGCCCAGACTGCAGCTGTTGGCCAACTGCTTGCGTTCGTTGTACGTCCAGTCAGACAAACAGACAGACCGAAAAATACAGCTACCGAACACGATGAGTGTGCGGTATAGCTGGCTGGCTAGTGAGAGTACATACACTCCACGTATATATATAGCGGAACGGAATGGTCAAAGGAAAAGGCAAGGAGCGAGGCCGCCATACAATGAATACAGCCAGCCAGCGTGCAGTGCCATATCTACCACTCCTGCTGCTTGCTTCAGCAGCAGCTTCTACGACCGCCACGCTATCGTAGTTGCTAGCACTAGTGTACGCAAGTAAGAGGCAGAGAGAGAGGGGAGGGGAAAAGGGGATCGAGGGGTGTCTGAGGAGACTGAAGAGGAGGTTGAGGACGAAGAGGAGCAGAACGAGCGCTCAGTGAAGTGCCTGAGAGCGAAGTGGTCTCGCTCGATGAAACTGACGGGTGCAAAACGGGAAAAGCGGGAAAAGGAGTCACTGAACGAGTAAAATGGCGAAAAGAAAAAAAAAAACCAAAAAGCAAGATGACACGAGTGCAGTGTAAAATAATTTCGAGGAAAGGCCTTCAAAGGGCGACGATGTAGAGTAGGTCGCGTGCAAGGCCCACGGCCTGAGCGATTCGACGAACAAACAAAATTAAACGTGAAAAATTTCATTTAAAATCGGCTGTACCTGCCGGCAAGCATCATTGTAAAAAGCAGCAAATGGTAAAGTAAAAGTTAAATACTGCAGCAAAGCTGGACGCATTAACATATTTAATGATAACATTTTTATATACACGTACGTGCATATATTATAGTGACACCACACTAGTACAAATGCTATTTATTGTGACAACGCCCCGTTTGCTTACAGTAAGAGCGATAAGAAGATAAAGGTAATAAGATAGAAGATAGATAAAAAGATAAGGTAATAAGAAGACGCTTCGATAAAGAAGTAAGTTCACTATTTTCGTTCCACTTTTCAACTACTTCTTCATTAATTTATTTTTTCATTATTATTATTATTAATATTAGTATCCCATAATACTTGTAATACACACGTGTACTCCGACATCCACAAACGCAGCCGATCGAACAGTTGGTACTTCCGTTGGCAACAAAATACGTGTAATAAACGCTTGACGTGTTAGCTCTTCAAATGAGATTCACAGCTTGGAAAAATAATAACCAACAAGTAAGTAATAAGAGCAGATTATCGTGGTATAGAAATTCGTGAAGGCTCACCGTGGACAATTGATTGCACTAAGTCAAATTCAAGCCAAAAGTTTACTTTTTCTTTTTTGTTCGATTATTGTACTCGTAAATAGTTTGCGCAAAGGTTTCATCCAGAGAAGAGTACACACGCCGTAACTAGGTGTATGAGGAAGCTTGCTACACTGATCCTGCTTCTATAACTCCACGAGACATCTTCGCTTCTATAGTAACTCGGATGGCCTATACGTAATTGATAAGCTGGTACTAAAAACTCAGATTATCGTTGGACATCGAACTTAAGCGGGGAGCTAGCCCGGAACCCCAGAGGTCTGATTCGACTGCTCCACTACTCATATCACTGAGCTAGTCCTATTTAGTAGTGGCAATAGTCGCGAGTTACCAGAAACAATTTATCTGCTGTAATTCTATATCGATAAGATAGAACACTTTGTCCTCGCTCCTTATTCGTGCCCCTCAATGTTTTTGTCGTTGATCTGTCCAGTGTCAGTCGTGCAATGAAAGTATGTATCCAAGATGCGACAATGTTCTACGTAGCAATGCAACAAATTGGTAAAGGAGGTTTGGGACAATAAAATAAATGACGCAGTTTGTGAAGAAATCGATTAATTCTGCCTAGGCACTCAAATGCATTCCAACTTTAGTTGCACCAAATCTGACTACAAACGTAAATCTCCAGCTGGCAGATAGGTCCAAACCCAAGGATAGTAGGAAGTATGCTTACGCGTTTGGACGTAGAATCTGTTAGACAACGTATTGGTTCCCAGCTGGGCTCTTAGATGTTGACATCACACAGGACATCATGACTCTTCGTAATAAAAGATGTGACGATAGCGACGATTTGAAGAATTTCAACCATGCGATACGGAATGTGTGGAGAGTACTCTCTACATTCGTAGCTGTAGTGGACTAGTGGTAGTGATAGTAGCATGTTACAGTATATTATTCCATGAGATCTGTTTATGATGGCTTCAAAAGGCTAAAGTACCTCAAAAGCGTCGCGAACGCCCTGAGTGGCCGAAAATGCGAGGCCATATTCCTTCAGTGTCGGCGGAAAAGGATGCTACAAGTGGACGAACGCCTGCTGGTCTCTAGATAAACTTTTAGAAGGTGCACCTTATAATGGAAGTATATTCTGGATGCCATGGTTGTTCGTATATCGTAGTCTGCGTGTCAAGCGTGTTATCCGAAACCGACCGAATCAAAATCGAGTTGATCACGCGTCTCGTTAACAACATGCCGATTGATCGGATGCTTACCGCATCGAAGCATCTGATGGTAATAGACGAATAAGTAATGGACAACGACCTACTAAGACAACCCACATCTATGCTGATGGCAATTTGGGTCCACAGCGATCACCGTGGATGCGTACGAGCTTGCAGGACAGCTACCGCTAACTCAATGACTGCAGTAAATGACCCTATATGATGGCCTTAGTTGGACCTCTGTTTGCTGGCCTACAGACATTGGATTCCAGGGAGCTCAAATGGTTGAAGCTAGGGGTTATTTGATCATCTGCGTTGAATGTGGAGAAGCCTTAAGGGCGGCTATAGACGTAACGGGGTACAACAGAGACAAGGTCTCTAATTTAAAATATCGTTTGCTCACTGGTGGGATTTCAATCACTGTCCTAGGAAAATGTGATCTATTGTCTTTTGTCATGCAAGTCGATTCGGTCGATCAGGTCTGGCCAAATTCAAGTTTATGCAATACGGGTTCCGGTATAGAGGTTTTCGTGGAACATTGTAGACACACGTGAGAAAAATAGCTATATTACAGAACAATTCAATTTTTGATTTTTGTTCTACTCATTTTATACATAAAATGAGCTGCAGTTACTATTCGTACTAGAATATTATCTCTGCTCAAACCTGTCTTACTGAACACTCAGATAGACACGTAAAATGAATGCATGTTCAATGCAAGCTATGCAATATACGTATATTTTTACAAGAGAGATATGTGTTTTCAAGCGCCGCTAAGTTGCAGCTTCAATACTATAAGCTAAAATTCGAACTTGAGTTTGATCGTATGTATTTCAAACGGTCCTCAGTATAGGATCAGGCCGTCGCTCGAATAAATTGAATTTGAGTCGGTAATGAATGCTCATTGAACTTAGTAGAGAGCAAATTCGAATAGCTGAAAGATAAGTCAATTTGAGGACGAACAAAACGATTAACAATCGGCCATCTTAGCAAAACTAAAATTGTTAACCGAGAAAGCAAATCGTCTGTGTCGACTGTGACCAGCAAAGCTTTCATCGTATAACTCGAGACCCGGCCAGTGAATAACGGACCTGCAGACAGCGACACATCAATGACTGGCCCCGGTACGGGCTAGCGTATCATTATCTTTTTGGCCCAATTAAGCATTGATTAAAACCCGTAGCTGGCAATACGGTTGCATGACGCCATTGTTATAGCGGTTCTCATTCGAAACTCAATGGCGCCCACCTGAATATTCTGCACGCGCTTTAATAGGAGTCAGTGACACGGTCGAATATCCTTACACGTCTAGTCAGAGAAGACGATTTTTTGTTAGAGTGCGTGAGACGAACTTTCAAGTTCAAGGCGCTTTCTAGGTTGTTTAGGAATCCTATCAGCGCAATGATCCCGCCAATAGCATAGATGCTGCATAATCTTAACGCCGGTTGGAAAGCTTTGCTTGGGGGTGCCGAGTGCAACAATTTATCCCTGTAGCCGAACCGCCAACACAACGGGTTAGTAGGACGGCTACACTTGTGCTAGCTGTTGTCTACGGAATCTATCGTCCCTGGGCTAACGACCAACTAGGAGTATGATCTACTAATGGGGCCTCGAACAAAGGACCCGCTCCAAGTGTCAAGCTTCCAACAGTGCCTACCGCGGAATTCGATGGAAGCTGCAGCGAAGGAACCTTGTTTGAGCGAAATGTTCATTTGATTTGACCGTGCAGTCGTTGTTTTCTCCGTGCGTAGCATCGCCAGCAGAAGACTCTCGTGTCATGCGGAGGAAATCACATGGGCGATGTTGCAGATATAGTGTCCTCCCGGGTTGAAACGACAAGCATGCAGGCAGTCTAAAAGGCTGTATAATTATGGGTAAGTAATAAAGTATCGAAAGGTAAAGATGATGTGTAGCCTGTGCCGACGACGTGACGGCCGACAAGATCGCTGTAAGCATCACGC